TAGTGAGATCGATAGTGAGATTGATAGTGAGATCGATAGTGAGACCGACCGTGAGATCGAGAGGTGTCCCGCGGTGTCCCGTGGTGTCCCGTGGTGTCCCGTGGTGTCCCGTTGAGTGAGATCGGTAGTGAGATCGATAGTGAGATCGATAATGAGATCGATACTGAGATCGATGTGGTGCCCCGAGGTGTCCCGTGGTGTCCCGTGGTGCCCCAAAAAATGAGATCGATAAAGATATCGATCGTGAGATCGACAGGTGTCCCGTGGTGTCCCGTTGAGTGAGATCGGTAGTGAGATCGATAGTGAGATTGATAGTGAGATCGATAGTGAGACCGACCGTGAGATCGAGAGGTGTCCCGCGGTGTCCCGTGGTGTCCCGTGGTGTCCCGTGGTGTCCCGTTGAGTGAGATCGGTAGTGAGATCGATAGTGAGATCGACAAGTGTCCCGTGGTGTCCCGTGGTGTCCCGTGGTGTCCGGTGGTGGCCCGTGGTGGCCCGTTGAGTGAGATCAATCGTGAGACCAATTGAGTCAGATGTTGGTTCTCCCCCCTCTCCCCCGCACCCAAACCTCCTTATCACCCGAAAGGTGGTCGTATAGGTATTTCCCCACATGCTTAGTGGGGTTCTGGTTGTCTTCCCACCCGCGTCGCAGCCGCGTCTTCCTCAAAACTTCCCTCCTCCATTGTTCTTCCTTCCTCCCCTACAGACACATACACAGAAACAGAGACACATGCGCACACACACACACACACACACACACACACACACACACAACCACATCCACACACAGACACGGTCGCACACACACACACACACACACACACACACACACACACACACACCACACACACACACACACACACACACACACACAACACACACACACATCAGACACTTACGCAGCACACACAACACAACACGACACAGACACAGACGCAAGGCACGGCAGGCGTGGCTCTTTCTCGACACCAGGGGGGGTGCGCAGGGGGGGGGGGGGGGGAAGGTGCGCAGGGGGGGGGGGGGGGGGAACGCGGTCTGTACACGCTCCAGGCTCGCAGGGTACGGCAGGCGTGGCACTTTCTTGACACCATAGGAGGTGCGATTGGGGTGGGGGCGCTATCCGTTTCGGGCCCGCAAAGCGTGGCAGGCGTGGCATCGCCTCGACGCCACGAGGGGGTGCGCTGGGGGTGGGGGCACTATGCGTGGCAGGCTAGCAGGGCATGGCAGGCGTGGCATTTCCTCGTCGCCACAGGGGGTGCGCTCAGGGGTGGGAGCGCTATCCGTTTCGGGCTCGCAAAGCGTGGCACACGTTGCACTTCCTCGAAACCACAGGGGGTGCGCTGGGGGTGGGAGCGCTGTCCGCTTCGGGCTCGCAAAGTGTGGCAGGCTTGGAACTTCGTTGGCACCAGATGGAGCGCGCTGTGGGTAGGAGCGCTATCCGCTTGGGGCTCGCAAAAGCGTGGCAGGCGTGGCACTTCCTCGACACCACAGGGGGTGCGCTGGCGGTGGGAGCGCTATCCGCTTCGGGCTCGCAAAGCGTGGCAGGCGTGGCACTTCCTCGACACCACGGGGGGTGATCTGTGGGTGGGAACGCTACCCGCTTCGGGCTCGCAAGACGTGGCAGGCGTGGCACATCCTCGACGCCACAGGTGGTGAGCTGGGGGTGGGGTCACTAGTCACTCTTTGTTTTTGGCTCGCAAAGCGTGGCAGGCGTGGCATTTCCTTGACACCACAGGGGGTGCTCTCTGAGCGCGGCATCGACTCTGTGTGCGATGCGGAGCCATCCTGTGGGGTCAAAGTGGCGGCCAGCCAGTGACGCCCAGGCTTTTGCCCATCCTGGACCCCCTCAAGGTACTCAGGTTCCCAAGGCTTGACCGGCGCCGCCAACGGTATCGGCGAAACAACGGCCACCTGCATCATTCTCGCCAGTTTCACGTCAGCTATCATCACGCCAGACATATTAGAAGTATGTGGGGTTCCTCGGTCGCGTAATTGTATGTTTCTGATCCTTCTTCTGATCCTTCTTCATCTGTTTCCTCCTCCTCCTCCTCCTCCTCCTTCTCCTCCTCCTCCGCTTCCTCCTCCTGCTCCTCCTCCTCCTCCTCCTCCTCCTCCCCTTTCCTCCTCCTCCTCTTCCTCCTCTTCCTCCTCCTCCCCCTCCTCCTCTTCTTGTTCTTTTTACTATTATGATTCCTCCTCCTCCTCCTCCTCAACCGCCGCCTCCTCCTCCTCCTCCTCCTCTCCTCCTCCTCCTCCTCCTCCTCCTCCTCCTCCTCCTCCTCCTCCCTCCTCTCCTCCTCCTCCTCCTCCTCCTCCTCCTCCTCCTCCTCCTCCCTCCTCCTCCTCCTCCTCCTCCTCCTCCTCCCCTCCTCTCCTCTCCTCCTCCTCCTCCTCCCCTTCTCCTCCTCCTCCTCCCTCTTCTCCTCCTCCTCCTCCTCTTCCACCTCCTCCCCTTTTCTGCATTCACAACCTCCACCTCCTCCTCCACCACCTCCTCCACCTTATCCTCCTCCTCCTCTCCCTCCTCCTCCATACCTTCTCCTTATAGATCACTCTTCCCTGTCGCACCCCAAAGCCAATTGTTAGGGCGGGCCGGGCGTTTCGCCTGAGACTTCCTCCCCATGTATGATTCTGAAGCTTACATTGTGGCAACAGCTTCACAGATAGAGGGCGGGTGGTTTTCAAATTGTGGCTCTCGCCTTAGCGTCGCGCACATTCTTCTTTGAAATCTGCTAGAGGTTCACGGATTGAGGGCGGGTCGTTTTCAGAATGTGGCTCTAGCCTGAGCGCCGCGCACATTCGTTTTCAAACATTGCGGAAGTTTCACGGATTGAGAGCGGGTGGGTTTCAGAATGTGGCTCTCGCTTGAGCGCCGCGCACATTCGTTTTCAACATTTGCAAGAGTTTCAGGGATAGAGCGGGTGGTTCTCAAAATGTGGCTCTCGTTTTAGCGCCGCGCACACTCGTTTTGAAACATTTGCACCAGCTTCACGGATTGAGGGCGGTTCCGTATGTGGCTCTCGCCTGAGCACCGCGCACATTCGTTGTAAAAAATTGCAAGAGTTTCCCACGGATTCCCATGATCAACGTCCCAGAAATGGTGTTTTGGAAGGGTTCAGGGTTATGCGGGTGCAACAGTTATGTTGATTCGCGGTGTTGGAGTCCCAATTATGGCGTTCTGGCACGATTCCGGATCGTCAAGATGCAGCAGTCAGGTTGATATGTGGCGTTGAAATCCCGAGAACAATGTTTTGGCATGCTTCAAGATCTTGACACGGTTGCCTTCCAACGAGGCATTTCCCTCAATGGAAATGAACCGTTGTGGGGGGCAAAGAAGAGGAAGCTTGGAGGGAGGGTCTATGCCAACATCGTTGATAACTCTGGTCCTCCTCTTGTTCCTCCTCCTCCTCCTCCTCCGCATCATCATCATCATCATCATCATCATCATCATCATCATCATCAGCATCATCATCATCATCAGCATTACCACCACCATCATCACCATCATCCTCCTCATCCTCATCAGCATCATCCTCATTAGCATCATCCTCATCATCATAATCAGCATCGTCATCAACATCATCATCATCCACCGAAAATGCTAGCCACTTCCTCCCATCATACTTCTCCAACGGTGGCTGAATCCGCTGTCACCAATTGCTCTGCCCCCGTGCCAGAGCTCGAGCCTGATCAACGCTCGCGACTGCCCGCGATGAGCACGCTGAAAGCGAAACGAGACGTGGCTGTTCTTGTGTCACTGTCGCTATCTCTGTATCGGGTGGCCATCGGTGCTTCTGCTGCGGAGGGGCTCTGGCCAATGAACCCGCGATCTGCAATATTTCGCAGGGATGCGAGACCTTGCCGCACGCCGCGCGCGTGGCTCGATTACTTTACGCCTCAAAGCGGGTGGCAGAACGCGGAAGCAAAATGTGATCGAGCGCAATAAGAGAGAGAGGGAGGAGGAAAAGAGAGGCTGATGAAGGAGTTGGAGGGCGAAAGGAGCGGGGGCCGAGAGAGGAAAATGGTGGGGGAGGAAAAACACACACATGTAGAAAGGAGAGGGAGAGAGAGAGAGAGAGAGAGAAAAACGACGACGACAACAACGATGACGATGATGACGACGACGACGCCGACGCCGACGCCGACGACGACGACGACGACAACGGCGAGGGCGAGAGCGACGACGACGACGATAGAAAGGGTGATCTGTATGCATATATAAATAAATACATATGAATAGGGAGAGAGAGAGAGAGAGAGAGGCGGAGACAGAGACAGAGACAGAAAAACAAACCATACCAAAACAAGCACAACAAAAGATACGATATAGAGAGGGAGGGAGAGGGAGCGAGGCAGGGAGGAGGAGGAGTTTCCTCTGAGTTCCCTGGCACCTTCAATTCGGTGGGACGGGAGGGAGGGAGAGAAATGGAAAGAGAGAGAGAGAGAGAGAAAGAGATAAAGCGGGGGGAGGAGGAAGGGGGAGCGACCGGTAAAATAAGTGAGAAGCCGCTTTTGCCTGCCAGAGCTGAACCAGAACGATCCGGGCAGCAAGTCATTGAAGAGCGATGCTCGCGCGATCAGGGCAGCAAGTCATAGAAGAGCGGTGCTCACGCTGAAAAAGTTCGCGGCTGCGTTAGGAGAGAAACTAAGCAGAAATGTCGGGAGGCTCGGTCAACCAGTCTGCAAGGATGCACCGGGTGACCCTGGACACATACGCACAGAGTATCAGACATGGCGTACGCAGCAAATGTTGTGGAGGTTGGGGTGTCCGCCTGCGTCGCAAGAGAGTAGGTATCGTCAGGCAAACGCTCGTAGCGGGACGTCGAAGAACATAGTACAGGGGAGCAATGACAAGGGTGTCCGAGGAAAGACCATGCCTGCGAATCGAAAGCTGCGTACTTCTTCGAGACAGAGACAATGAGGTGGACTGGGCCGCGATTCTGGGAAAAATCGCAATGCCAGGTAAAAGCTGGCAAACTCGTGATGGCAAGCATGTGACTGTAGCAGTGCACAGCATCCAGTGCACTACTCTATGCACAGTATTGGCCACGTGCTGAACTTACCAAGCAACGCTGAGAACCCTATGGCTGCGGCCGCATGACACATTGCACGCACCATGGCAGACCACGAGACACGGCCTCACAGGCCTCCAACTACACGATGACTTCGCGGCTAATTGACATGCAACCCCTGCAGCCGCAACTCGGCAGTCTCCGCCGCTGGGCCGCACGGCTGCACCACATCCCCCTCCGCCCCCCTTCACCCCCCGGAGCGCCGGGCACGCGGTCGGAGGACGACGCCTCCGGACGCCCCGGACGGGGTCGGCCATCGGGCCTCCCTTCACACCCTGGAGCACCGGGCACGCGGTCGGAGGACCTATACGGACGCCCAGGACGGGGTCGGCCATCGAACCTCTAGAAGGAAACAAAAATTAAAAATAAACCTTTGGCGCTCCGCGCGGACTTGTTTGATCTGCGCTGGAACCCCCTCCCTGGCGCGCGGAGCGCGCCAGAAGCGGCGCCGGAGGCGCCGCCAGGGGGGGCCCAGCGCGGAGCCACGAAATCCGCGCGGAGCGCCAAAAATGTATGTTTATGGCGTCTTTTCTTCTTTGAACCTCCCCTCCTCCCCACGGGCACAGGGCACGCGGTCGGAGGACGACGCCTCCGGGCGCCCAGGACGGAGTCGGCCATCGGGCCTCCCGCCTGGATCTCGCCTGCCGGGGCTCCTCCGCTGGCCCTCCGTGGGTCCTCCGGCGCGCCAGATCCATCCAGGGAGCTCAGAGGCCCACAGCCGGTCTCCCTACCCCCCAGTTCCTCCCCCTCCCCGGCCCCTGGCCTGCCCAAGTGGCACAGTCTCTCCTCCTCCTTCTCCTCCTCCTCCTCCTCCTCCTCCTCTTCTTCTTCTTCTTCTTGTTCCCTACCTAGGCTCTGCCTAGAAGGGTTCTTACTCTCTAGCTTAAAGGGGCCGGGCAGTGCTACACGCCCCGGGCGATTCCCCCAATCCCCGCCCCGCGGTTCCCCCAGTCCCCTGGGAGCTTTAGCCTGAGCTTTAGTTTTTAGCTTAGCTTTAGCTTTAGCTTAGCTTCAGCTTAGCTTCAACGTAGCTTTAGCTTAGTTCCAGCTTAGTGTTAGCTTAGCTTTAGCTTAGCTTTAGCTTAGCTTCAGCTTAGTGTTAGCTTAGCTTTAGCTTAGCTTTAGCTTAGCTTTAGCTTAGCTTTAGCTTAGCTTCAGCTTAGCTTCAGCTTAGCTTTAGCTTAGCTTTAGCTTAGCTTTAGCTTAGCTTTAGCTTAGCTTTACCTTAGCTTTAGCTTAGCTGCATCTTAGTGTTAGCTTAGCTTTAGCTTAGCTTTAGCTTAGCTTCAGCTTAGCTTCAGCTTAGTGTTAGCTTAGCTTTAGCTTAGTGCTAGCTTAGCTTTAGCTTAGCTTTAGCTTAGCTTTAGCTTAGCTTCAGCTTAGCTTTAGCTTATCTTTAGCTTAGCTTTAGCTTAGCGTTAGCTTAGCTTTAGCTTCAGCTTGGCTTTAGCTTAGATTTAGCTTTAGCTTCAGCTCAGCTTCAGCTTAGATGTAGCTTAGCTTTAGCTTAGCTTTAGCTTAGCCTTAGCTTAGCTTTCGCTTAGCTTTCGCGTAGCTTCAGCTTAGCTTTAGCTTAGCGTTAGCTTAGCTTTAGCTTAGCGTTAGCTTATCTTTAGCTTTAGATTTAGCCTAGCTTTAGCTTAGCTTTCGTTTAGCTTCAGCTTAGCTTGAGCTTAGCTTTAGCGTAGATTTAGCTTAGCGTTAGCTTATCTTTAGATTTAGATTTAGCTTAGATCTAGCTTAGCTTTGGCTTAGCTTCAGCTTAGCTTCAACTTAGCGTTAGCTTAGCTTTAGCTTAGCTTTAGCTTAGCTTTAGCTTAGCTGTAGCTTAGCTTTAGCTTAGTATTAGCTTAGAGATAGCTTAGCTTTAGCTTAGCTTTAGCTTAGCTTTGGCTCAGCTTTAGCTTAGCTTCAGCTTAGTGCTAGCTTAGCATTAGCTTAGCTTTAGCTTAGCTTCAGCTTAGTGTTAGCTTAGCTTTAGCGTAGTGTTAGCTTAGCTTTAGCTTAGCTTTAGCTTAGCTTCAGCTTAGCTTTAGCTTAGATTTAGCTTAGCTTCAGCTCAGATTTAGCTTAGCGGTAGCTTATCTTTAGCTTTAGATTTAGCTTAGCTGTAGCTTAGCTTCAACTTAGCTTTAGCTTAGCTTTAGCTTAGCTTTAGCTTAGCTTTAGCTTAGCTTTGCTGTTACTACTAATGCTGCTTTCCTGGGGGCTCCAACTCCTAGGTAGGGTCGCACTGTGATAATTCTTCTTCTTCTTCCTCCTCCTCCTCCTCCTCTTCCTCCTCCTCCTCCGCCTCCTCCTCCTCCTCCTTCTCCTCCTGCTCCTCCTCCTACATCCCCCGCCAACAAAAAAACGCCTGAAGGATGTGCCCTCAGCGTTCCTCGCAGCCCGCCCACTGTGCTGGGTGCTCGCCGAGTGCGGCCATCACTCACTGCTTCAAGCTGCGCCGCTGCGCCCAGCCTTGGATTCTCAAGACTCCGGGAAGGCGTGCGAAAGCGGCCCTCCCACTCCCGTCTGGCTCGCACCGCGGCCGACGCCCCAGCCCTCGGAGGTGAGAGAAAGTGAGAGAGAGAGAGGAGGGACAGCAGGAGAGGCCGAGGGGCAGGAGCGCAAGTGCCACGGGGGGAGGAGGGAGGAGCCTGGAGGGAGGAGCATCGGGATCAGAGCCTCGAGGGAGGAGCCTCGAGGGCGGAAGGAGGCTCGAGGGAAGAGGGTGGAGCGCGCAGGGAGGAGTGAGGAAGCATCCTGTTGGGTTTACGAACGCCCTGGATCCCTCGGGGAAGGGCAGGGCCAGCAGGGAGATGAGGGGCTTGCTTCACCACGACAGTGCGACCAAACACAAGTACACACGCTGTCCCTTCCCATGTGGTACTGCGAGGACAAGCGCGTCTGAACCATACTCGCGCATGGCATTCCAATCGCCAGCGTGAGAAACACACTAAGGGGCTCGACGGACCACGGCTGGCTCTCGTATATCCGCCACCAGGCCACAGCCACAGGCATTGAGAGGAATCCCCCCCCAGGTCCCTTCGAGTTCTTCGCATCGAGCGTTATAGATACTCATTCGAGGGGCCAGGGACATCGAAGTTATGGGCGCTCCTGGGCGCTCCTGAACGCTCTTGAGCACTCTCGGTGCGGCTCGCCTGACTTGTTCAGAGGCCTCGGGAGCATATGCCGACGCGCTCTCGACGCGCCCAAGTGGACGACGCCGACACCACGGCGGCAAACCCACGGCAAACCTTGCGCCACGCGCCCCGTCTAGACGGAGCCTGCACCGCGGCAAGCCCCATGGCAAACCCACCGCGTCCGAGGCGGCGCTTACCCTGGTGGCCGCGGCGCCCTCCCCAAGACGGAAGGCCGCGCATCGGAACAGGCGGCGCGGCGGCCTATGGTCAAAGATGATGGCAGGGTCACCCTGGAGCCTCATGGGCACATCCTGTTCCGTGCTGGAGGCCCCCAGGGGCCGGCACAGACGTGCCTTGTACGATGCTGGCGTGTGCTCCTCTTCTCGACCGTGGGAGCGCCCAGGACGTCTCAAAGAGGCCACCAAGACGACCTCCAAGTTCGCCCCAAGACGGCCGCAAGAGGAGTCAAAGAGGGGGAACTCGAAGTGACATGTCGATCCCTTCCCCCCTAGACGCCTCCCGAGACTGCGAAGAGGCCCCCAAGAGGTCCTCAGAAGGCCCTCGCGAGGCCCCGATGAGGTATCCATGAGGCCGACAAAAGGCCAACAGAGGTCCCAAAAGGCCCCAAAGAGCCCCCCACGAGGCTACAAGAGACATCCAAGAGACCCCTAAGAGTCCCCCCAGAGGCCAGCGGGAGATAGGAGGCATGCTTCACCACGACAACGCGTGCAAATGCAAGTATGCATGCTGCCTTCTGCATGGTAGTACTAGGAAGACCGACGAATGCAACCCTACTCGCGCATGGCACGTCCATGACATTTGTGAGGAATACAGAGAAGGTCTTGTCAGACGCTGGCCGGCTCTTGCATATCCGCCACCATGCCGTAGGCGCCGAGTGGAGCGTCCTCACGTCAGCTCGCGCCCTCTGTGTGAGCTCTGCAAAAAGAAACTCTTTCCAGGGCCAAGACCCTGGAGATCTGGGCGCTCCCGGGCGCTCTTGGGCGCTCCCGGGGCGACTCGCGTAACTTGTTCAAAGGCATCGGGAGCGTGATTGGGATCCCATACCGTCGGGGCGTTGACCTAAGGAACGATAATAAGGAAACGAGGCCCCTTTCTTCCTTCAGATTCAGTTTGATTTCCGATCGAAGACCGAAGGCAAATCTAAGGCAAACAGTTAAACAACTAAGGAGCGCGGAGCCCCTCCCGAACGAAAAGGGTTCCTCCTTCAGCGCCCCGACTGTACTTCCAAAATGGCTTACGACGATGTCAGGGACCATCCGGGAGCCCTCGCGGGTACATCTTGGGCCGCTTGGGAAGCTCTCGGGGCCGGCCGGCCCACGGCGCCAACATCATTGAAACAAATGTGCTTATACGACGTTGGCATGCTCCACTTCTCGGGCGAAAGGAGCGCCCCGGGCTGCCAAAAGAGGCCCCCAAGATCGCCCCAAGACGACCCTGGAGGCCCCCCTGAGAGGGGGGACTCTCAAAGGAACGTGTCGATCCCCTTTCCCCGAGGTGGCCTTCGAGACTGCCACGAGTCCCCCTAAGAGGCCCCCAAGAGGCCTCAAGAGGCCCCCAGAGGCCCTCCCAAACCCCTCTGACATCCGGATGCTCCTGACAAGCGCCAGTCTGTCAAGACGCCCCAGGAAAGCACCTCGAGAGACCCCGAGGGGTCTCTAAGAGCCCTCTTTTCCACGATCCAGGCAAGGCGGCGGGACGGGCCGAGTCACTAGATCCGCCCCCCCCTGTCGATTCATCGCAGGGGTGCCTGGCGTGCTGAATCCTTTCGGTTTTGGTTTTGGCTCTTTTTCCAAAAAGACTCCCCCGGTGCCTTCGGCCCGTCCCGCCGGCCACCCAGAAGGGACCGCAAGGCGCCGAATTATGAAAAATTCTCCCAAGACGGCTCAAGATGGCTTTCAAGACCGCCAAGATGGCCCAAGATGGCCTCCGAAATGCCTCCAATACGGCCAAGATGGCCTTCAAAACGCCTACGATGGCCTCAAGATTCTTCCAAGACGGCCCAAGATGCACCCAAGACGGCCTAAGACAGCCTCAGGATGGCACAAGACGGCTCAAGAGGCTCCCAAGAGGTCTCCAAGACGGCCCACGAGGCCTCCAAGAGGTTCTCCAAGAAGGCCCGAAGAAGCCCAAATCATTGAGTTCCCGAAGTTGTTGAAGAATGTTCGCAATTGCTTCTTTTCGGCTTCCCGATGGCCCCAAACGGCCCAAGAGCCCCCAAAGATCGACGCCCCAAGATCCGAGGAGGCCTGCAAGATGGCCCCAGTACGGCCCAAGAGGGCCCCACGAGGGCCCCAAGAGGGCCCCAAGAGGGCCCCAAGACCGCCCAAGAGGCCTCCAAGACGCCCAAGATGGCCTCCAGCACGGCCCTGGAGCACGCCAAGAGGACTCCGAGTCGGCCCAGAGAGGCCCCCAAGACAGCGTCCGACGGCGTCAGACAGGCAATGAACGCCCTAAGACGGCAAAAGAGGCACCCGAGAAGCCCCTCGGCTCCCAAGAGGCCCAAGGAGGCCCCCAAGATGCCTCCAAGAGGCTCCCAGGAAGCTCCCAGGAGGCCCCAAGAGTGCCCCCAGAGGCTCCCAAGATGCCCCCTCCGGTTTCCTCCTCCTCCTCCTGCTTCTCCTCCTGCTCTTCCCCGCCATCCTCCCCCAAGCGTTCCCCGAAGGGTTTCCACAATGGCTGGCGGAGCACATGGTCCGATAGCTTGGCAGAGCTCTTGCCACAACGCTCGGCCACATGAGCGATTCCAAAAGGCAGGGGGCGGCGGTGATTCGACGTAGGAGTCTTCGATACTGCGAGCGTGCATACCCTCCTCCCATCCTGATCTGCTCGGACATCTTGTCGAGCTGCCCAAGGCCTTTGGTTATCTCGGTTTTCCGCTTTCGTTGGAGTCTCTCCTTCGCGGATGGAGGGGCAGGTGGAGGGAGCACCAACTGCTTCATACGCCAAGCATGCACGCACGCAGAGTCGTCACTGTGCAGGAGATCCCAGAAACATGGCAGTGTGAAAAGGTTGAGCTCCAGGGTACAGCAGGAGCGCACGTGTCTCCCCCATGGAGGCATGAATGCTGTTTGCGCGCTGCTTGCTCGCCTCAGCCCCACGCAGACCGAGACAAATTGACAGAGCCAGTCGCCAATAGAAGAAGCCCGCTGGCGAACGACACGGAAATGCGCCTGGTGCGCTGTTCCAAGGCGGGAGTCCATCATAGTTCTCTGGTGTCATGGTGGGCCGCCTTGGGGCCGTCAAAGAAAATCTCGAACGGCTCTCCGGAAGCCTCCAATGAGAACAGCGATTGCCCAAGAATCACCACCCAGCGTCTTCAAATGCACTGACTGCCCCCTAAAAAGCATCCGAGGGAGTTCAAGAGGAGAGGCCCCAATAACCCTCAAAGACTGCTCCTGGGCCAACAGCGCATCGCGGCGATCCTAGGAGTTCTATGGGGTCGCATCTGGCTGCTGCGAAAGCAACTGCGTGAGCTGCACTTTCCGTCCGTATGTACCAGCGTGGGTCGGAGGAAGTTCCAGAGGCGGCAAATCATCCGAACTAGCCTTGCCCAGGGAGAAAGGCCACCCCACAAAAATAGGCAAAGCTTTCCGCCGCCGTCCCCGCCCCCTGGCCTGGTTTTACGTCGCATGGCTTCCTGCCTACGTAAATGTATGCCCAAACGTTGCTTACACTCCGACGTGCATGTCAACCTGCACGCCCGCTTGGATGCTATCCTGCAGACAGATACTGCCTCGCCTCTGCAGGAGCCCTCCACCCCTGCGAATGTGATTGCCATGAAGACAGCATGCGGCTACAGCTGGACTTCCGAACGGCACTGCCCCCAAACGGGAAGCCAGCACCCGAACACGTGCCAAACGCAAGCAGTGCCAGTGTCTCTGGCAGTGCCAGTGGTATAAAAACACGATTGCAATAGGGGGGAGGCGCTGCTGCACGATGAGGCCACACGTCGTGCGCTCCTTCTCCAGGTTCGCCCTCGTGAACGGGTCGGCCAGGTCACCGCCGAGCATCGCGTTGGCCATCTCCCCGTTGCTCTCGTAGATGCTCTTGGCGGTGGTGTACTCCAAGTACTGCAGCTCCTGCCCGCGGGCCGTGATTCCCTGTGCGCCCGTTAAAAAAATGCATTGTATAGTTGGGTCGGGCATGTTCCCCTACAGGCGGACTTGGGAGGAACAAATCATACAAAAGCCCCAAAAGACTTAACAATAGTCAAAACATCGTTCCCAGACTATGTTTGAAATAGTTTTGAATATTCCTCCTGTAAGGGGACAGGCCCGACTCA